CATTATGTATTAAGCTGCTTCAATAAAAATCCAACATTTTAAAAGTACTTTGACTATTAATTTAGCAATTAATTTAGATATTAAAAATGCAAAAATAGAATTTTATTGCAAAATAAAAATATAACTATTTATTTTAAAGACAAAACAAGTCATTAAATGTTATTTTAAATGCATTTTCAATTCTCTGTGAAAGATGCTACAATTTACTCTTATTTAAAGTAAATTTAGATTTTAAAGCAAAGAACAAAATCGTTTTATTCAACTATATTTGTATTTTTTATTCTCTGCAAACAAACCTTACAATAGTTATATTTACATGGCCACACTTTGCAATAAGGTTTTATTAGTTATTAATGTATTTACTAACATGAACTAATAATAACGTATTCATTATTCATAGTTCAACATTTACTGATGGATTATTAAAATACAAATGCATGCTTGTTAACATTAGTTAATGCACCATGAGTTAACATCAACATTGACTAACTGTATTTTTATTAACATGAGCAAACAGTGAGCAATACATTTACAACAGTATTTGTTCATGTTTGTGAACATCAGTTAATGAAAATAGTTATTTATTGTTAGTTTAACTCACAATGCATTACCTAATGTTATCAAGCATGAATGTTAGATGTTAATAATGCATTGGTTAAATGTTGAACTATGATTATTAAATGCTGTACAAGTGTTGTATTAACTAACATTAACTAATACAATCTTATTGAAGATGTGTTACCACATAGATTAGATTAACAATAATGCATGCAAAACTATGTCTAAAAATGGCTGCATTTCCGTTTGAATTGTGATGTTTTTGTGAGATTCACGACTACAGAACGTCAATGGAAGATCATATACAGGAAAGCAGAGGCTTTGCATCTGCCATCAAGACTCCATTAAGTAAAGCCACAAGCAGATTTAAGAAGTCTGTCCATTTAGGAACGAACCCAATAATCTGTTTCAGCTTTTTTGGCTAAAATACATGAAGATCCGATCTCCTTTCCACATATAAAAACACATGACATTTCTTATTAGCAGTGGAGCTGCTTCTGCAACTGTGCATGAATGAACAAATCCTCAATTTATTTCCCCCTTTTCAGCCAAGAAGTTCATTTAATCCTTCAGTTAAAAAGTATTCTAGGTTTATCAGGGAAAACATGCAGGATTTTCCCCAAATCGCAGTCTGAACTTGCAAATTCAGTTGTAAATGATCCAAGACAATGTATAAGAGTCTGACCTAGTGCAGGGCTTCCCAAAGTCCGAAGCTCTCGACCCCCAAAACAACAATGCCAATGACTCGCGAGCCCCATTATCCTCTGAGGTGGTTATAAATATACAAATGGCACACACATGCCAATAAGCCCAAGTCTATTAGTCATTTAACTTTGAAGACCATCCTCCATGTTCAGTTGTGGCCTGTATTTATTTCTTATCTAATTTCTTTTATAAAAGTACATCTTAGCCTCAAAACCTTGTCTGGCATTAGCTCTGAGATGTACTTTTTTCTCCTTTATGTAAATAACCATTTGTGTCCGCAGGTGTGTTTGTGTGTGTCTCTCTCTTTACATTAGCATAGGCCCCGTCCTAATTACACAGACAACTGCTGCATCCCAATCCGCATACTATCCGTCCTAAATAGTATTTGAAAATAGAACTAGTATGTTCCAAACTATAGTATGGTGAAAAGAGGATGCCATAAAAAAATGTAAGTGTAGAAGCATCAATATTTCAATAAACAATTTTTTAAATTATTCTTATTCTATTTTTTTTTTTTTTTTTACAACGCACACTTGATGCCCCTCTATTCTGTGAACTTCAGTGCGTTTTCCTCAAAATCAACAAAAAAGATCATTTATACTGAAGATAAAAGAAATGAACTTCTTGTATGACAAGGGTGTGAGTAAATTATCAGATAACTTTAAATCCAAAAGTTAACCAATCCTTTAAATGTGGAAACTTGAGTGCTTCATACAGGACTCATAACAACGTGTTACAGTCTCATATACGTATGGCACAATGTGGCCTTCCATGAGACCAAATCTTGGCTCTCGGCGAACATAACTGTATGGCAACACTGAAGGAAAGAGAGGTTTCTGTCATAACATCATCATCATCATCTGAGATTATGGCAGTATCATCCGTATTCGTCCACTTGATGTGTGAAAAAAAAAAAAAAAAACAAGCCTGAAGACGTCTGTGAAGGTCAAAAACACTCGCCGTCTGTCCTGAAGACATTTATCCAGATCACGAAGCCTGAACTAATGCACTGAATCTCCTGAAAAAACCCATTCAGTCCTAAATCTGAAAGACTGAATTAAACTATTTTGCATGAAAAATTGAGGCCTATTTTAAGACCGTCTTCATGATAATGATTCGATCTAATGCTCATTACTGTAACACATCCAGATGGTTTACTTCTCATTAAATTATCAGCACTGTAATAGTATTTTTTTAATGCACCACATCACTAAACGACTGTACATACATATCTGTATCAGTATATCAGTACAGTTGAAGATAAAACTATTCACCCTTCTGTCAATTTCTGTAAAATATTTCCCAAATGATGTTTAAGAGAGCAAAGAAATTTTCACAGTATTTCTCATAATATTTTTTCTCCTCAAGAAAGTCTTATTTGTTTTATTTCGGCTAGAATAAAGGCAGTTTTTTAATTTTTATTCAATATTATTAGCCCAGTTATGCAGTATATTTTTTGATAAACAGAGCATATAGATCTACAGAACAAACCATCATTGTACAATGATTTTCCTTATCCTAACTTACCTAATTAACCTAGTTAAGCCTTTAAATGTCACTTGAATCAGAATACTAGTATCTTGGAAAAAATATCTAGTCAAATATTCTGAATCTGTACTGTCATCCAAGGGCATAGGTTTGCTCTTGACATTGGTGAGAATGGACGAATCCAACACTCCAGGGTGAATTAAGCAGAGTATATTCGCCTGCTATAACGATAGACGGTTCGTTAAAGCAGGGAAAAGACACAAGCATTAACGACATTATCATGATAGACTCATTTAGTAGCGAATTTGCGTTTAAGTGACTTACACTTTTCATTAAAAAAAAAAAAGTTTCTTTGTCCACCGTTTTTTGCTGCCGACATCCTTACTTGTGTGTGTCACACCTTATTATTGAACAGGAAGTTCCCCTGTGCAGTTTTGGCGCTTTTACATCTGAATACAGCCTCTCACATGACAGCAAGGCAAGGCACAGCCAATTTAAATGTACACGTGTTTCGGGGCGGTACGACTCGAGGAGAGAATGCGATTAAACACTTTCCTTTTGTCTAGTAGGGTTGCATTGGACGATGGCATCATCTATCATCGCCGATAGACATCACAATGCTGAGCCAGCATCGCGATCCTTGCCCGTCCCCAATCGCAGCAGCAACTCTCTCGCGAAAAACACATACTCAGGCCCAGTTAACACTAATACTTCTTAGTTATAAAACGGATTTCTAGAACAAAAAAGATCCACGTCCACACTAGGGTTTCATCTAGCATTTCTGAAAAGATCTCAATCCACTCTATACCGCTGAAAACGCACATCACGTGACCACACACACATTCTGGCATGCACTACAGCATATGCACACGTCTGAGCTCCAGGCAGTCAGCAGGTGCTTTGAGCACAAAACTGCAGAGAGCGGTGCACGTCGGACAATTTATAAAAGATAAACACTATAGTTGTTAAACATCATATTTAATTCATCTTGTCTCTATCAAATGACTCTTTGGTCTTCTGAATCTATCAGGTAACGTGTCACAGCATCAGTACACTGCTTCGATCTTTCGCTTTCACTCTTGTACTTAGTCATTTTAGCGAAAACCCCAGATACTGTTGGTTGGTTTCTGTTGGTTGTGCATCTTTTTTACCAACAACGCCATTATAAGATCACTCTGCCTATTCATGCCAGAGTCCTGCAGAAAAAGTAATTGACAGGTGGTAATTTGTGTGTAACTTATTTATTTATGATTTGATTATGGGTAAAACAAAGACCATGCGGGTCAGGGAGTTGAAACAGTAGGCTACAAATAATTAATTCATTATGAATTATTTAATTATTCACAAATAGTTAATTCACTGCAGCCTACGACAACCATGCCATCGTCCACCGCAATGTTTCACTTTAGACATCATGCAATGCTAAATTGGTTGATATCGCCCAACCCTAATGTCCAGGTTAATATTGACAGAAATCTGTTTTTTTAAAGTGAATTAAATTATCGGAGGGGACATTTCAATAGCTGGTGGATATTGGTGGGGACGCAACCACTCCATCCACGCTAAATCTGTACTCGACCTCATGACAAAGATAAAAGAAATGAGCTGGTAGTTATTAAAATTATTATGTTTACAAATTTACTGAAAAAAATCTTTTGAGAAATACAATATATAAAAAAATATACAAGAGGGTGAATAATAATAATAATAATTCATAATTCAACTGTACGAACACTTTAGAAACATCACTTATGTTCTTAAGGTGTTGCTCTTAAACATAGCCTTCATTTTTTTTAATGCAAAATAGAACTTAATATAATTTGGGTATTTTTTTTTTTTTGTGTTTGAGATTTAACCGATGAGTGCAAGGAGAAAAATAAGATCAAGTTAGAGAATCAAAACACAGATGAAGACTTCAGTCTGACAAATCACTGATTAATATCTAAAGATGTGCTAGAAGTAAAAAAAAAAATAAAAATAAAAAATAAAAATAAAAAGTTGTTGGCATCGGCCTCGCTCAGTAAGTGAATGTTCATTGTATTTCTTAAAAAAAAATAAGAAAAAAAGGCCAGAATTGTACTTGCAGAAACAAACCTCACTGGCATTCCACAAAAAAAAGGAGAGAAAGAAGCAATATGAAGACAAAAATAAAAATCACTCCTGAGATGGTGGATAATAAAGATATATATAATCACTGTAGAGTAATTCTGAAAGCATACAGAAACCTGCACGGTTTGGCGATCACGTCAGCTTGCTGGTCCTTCAATAAAGAAGGAGGATCTTTATTAAATATCACGAATCCCACATAAAACTCCTCGACTCTGATAAAATCTGTACATTTTTCTTTTCTTAAAAAGTCTTTTTTGTGGTTTGTCTCGGCCCAGAAAGGACTGCATTTTGTCCGCACTGTGTTTGAGTGAAATCTTAACTGAGTCCGCCGTCTGTTCGTCCACTAGCAGCACTTCTTCTTCCGTTTGCTGTTCTGCTTGAGTTTAATCACATCGTTCTGCTGCTGCTGCTGCTGTTTGGCCACAGACTCTTTCTTTGCCCGGAGAACCAACTCTGTGATGCAGTTAAACATCTACAAAAAGACCAGAAATATCTGTTAATACACCAATTTAACACTTTAATTCACTTTTAAATGTGTTGATTTTAAGTATCCTTAATATTTTTCAACAGTGGTCCTCAAACTTTTTTTCATTAAGTACCACCTCAGAAAAAAATTGTTCCTCCAAGTACCACCATAATGAGCAGTATTGAAATACAGTAGCGCAGTAAGCCCAGTAAAACAGCTACAGTTCTGCACAGTTCAAAAACATGGCAGATTAATTCCTATTATTAAGAATATTAATTACTGTCATCCATAAATAGTCTGAACGTTAACACTGTACTATGCTTATATGTGAAAAGCAAACTAAAAAAGTCAACATTTAAATTAAAATGTGTAAAAGGTAAAAAGAAAAGTGCTGTACTTAAATGTAAAGTATTAACATATAGTAGACAATTCATCAACACCTGAAAATGTTGCCTGGACCTCAGAAATATAGGCTATATGTCATATAAGGAATATTATTATTTGTCATTTTCATATTTAAATAATTTGTAATAAATTTTGAAATATATGTAGCATGTACATATTACATATTTGATTCCTCCACGTACCACTAGAAGGAAGCCCGCGTGCCACTAGTGGTACACGTTCCACAGTTTGAGAACCACTGATTTACAACAATATATATTTTTTTTTTGTCTAAAGTTATCAAGTTAGCAATTCTGTTCAGACTTATTTTCTTGTTCCTTACTCATAAAAAAAAAAACATTAGTAAAGATTAAGATTGGAATAATTTACTTACTAGCATTCAATCCATTTAAGCAAAATTGCTGTCATATTTTCCTTAGGACTGTACTGTACTTGTTTTTCCTGAGGATGTTATTTATGTGGCGATTTGATTCACTGATCTGTATATCTTTTGTACTATGCATGTATGTATATGTATATGTATGTATGTATGTATACTACTTCCCCTTTTGTTAATGTTTGTTGTGTTGTATGGATGTCATGTATGTATATGTGTGTGTGTGTGTGTATATATATATATGTGTGTGTGTGTGTGTGTGTGTGTGTGTGTGTGTGTGTGTGTGTGTGTGTGTGTGTGTGTGTATATGTATACACACACACATATATATATATATATACACACACACACACACATATATATATATATATATATATATATATTTTTTTTTTTTTTTTTTTTATGCATACATAAAGATTTTTTTTACTAATACACCATCCAACACTGATTTGAATAAAGATGACCAACTAATGTAGGATCAGTTTTTAAAATGTAACTGGATGAGTCAGCTTTACTGTAAAAGAAAAAACAAGGATGCATACAGACACAACTTCAATGTGTCAATTTTTGCTTGGCAACTATGAATGTGTATGAATAATCTGACAGAAGTATACAGTAAAAATACATTTTGATGAATGTTTCAGTCCAGGAAGCTGTGCTCTTTTGTGATTTTAGTGAGTTTTAGGCAATTTTCACACACAATACAAATGGCCCCAAAAGCAAGCCCTGCAGAACTCACTTCACTACAATGTCAAGTTTTGCTTGGCAATCAGGGATGCACGTGAGCAATCTTGTTGTTTGGTGAAAATTTTGTTGTATTGAAATAAATACATAAACAAATAAATAAATCGGGTTACGTTTGTTGTTTTTAGATCTATAGTTCAGTAATAGTAACCAAAATATTGCCAAATATCAGCATGAGAGTACTCACAAATGTGAAATGGATTTTATATCATTTCTATAGTGTTTTTTTTACAACGTAGACTGTGTCAAAGCAGAAAACTCCATATCACATTTGTGATTACTCTCCCATTCTAATAATTAGAAAACATTTTGCTTGGTATTACTTGGGTTTAGATATAAAAAGAACAAAGCCAAACATGGATTTTTTTCACCAATAAACCATCCATCACTGACTTGAATAAAGATTAATAATTAATACAACACATCAGTCTTTAAAATGTAACTGGATGAGGCATCTTCACTGTAAAAAAAAAAAAGAAAGAAAAAAAAAACGTATACATACACAACTTCAATGTGTCAAGCTTTTCTCGGCAACTAGGGATGTGCATGAATAATTTGTCATGCCGTCAAATGTACAATAAAAATACATTTAGAGGATTTGTCCAGGCTTGAAAGAAGCTGTGCTCTTGTGATTTTAGTGAGTGAGTTTTAGGCAATTCACACACAATCCGAATAGCCCAAGACAGAGCCCTGCAGAACTCACCTCCTCCACATTGACATTTTCTTTCGCACTTGTCTCGAACAGACTGATGCCCATCTGTTCTGCAAACTTCTGTGCATCATTCGTCTCCACCACCTTAGAGTTTGGATCATCATTTTTATTGCCCACTAAAGAAAGAAGATGATATTTAAGGCAAAGCAGGTTTGTTTATATAGCAAATTCCTTACAAAATGGTAATTCAAAGTGCTTTAGATGAACAATAATGACAGAAACATATATTACAAGTATAAGATATAAAAACAACAAAGAATTCAATTTCAAATGTGTTAAACAGGTTTTAAAAAGAATTAAAATGAAAAGTAAACATAGAACGCAATACTGGATTGACTTAAAATCACTCAAAGTCTCTAAAAACAAATGATTGACTAAGATGTATAGAGTGGTGCACTTGAAGTTAAATAACAATAAGGAAATACTAAAATTGAAAGAAAGGCAATGTGTATGCAGTGGCAAACTGACCTAATATTCGACAGACGTCATCACAGTTCTGGTTTATTTCATGTAGCCATCGTTTAACATTGACAAAGGACTCGGCGCTGGTAACGTCATACACTACTATCACACCATGGGTTCCTCTGTAATATCTGAGAATGGAAAATAAATAAATAAATAAATAAATAAATAAATAAATAAAAAGAAATATGAAACGAGGCATCAAAATTATTTAATAAACAACCCAAAATCAAAATTGAGGTTAAAATTCAAAATTAAATTGAAATACCATTTAGTTTGTTGTTAAGTATATACATTAGGGTTGGGCGATGTTGACCAATTTGGCATCAGAATGTTTCACATTAGACATCGCACGATAGACATTAGCTACGTTTCCATCCACCTATTTTATTTTGCAAATGCGCATAAAAAAAAAAACCAGTTGATGGAAACGCCATGATGCGCATAAATCTTGAAAATGCGCATAAAAAACGTATGCGCCTAACTGGGTAGGATAAACTTTTTATTCGATAAGGAGAGATGCGCATAAACTGCAATGGAAACACTTTTACCGCACAAACTCCAGCATGCGCATCAAAAAAGGTCATGTGATTTTGTTAAGAGATCATGTGATGCTTAAACTATGTGTGAATGGACAAAACGTCAGGCTGAGCACATTATAAAACATCTGAAATGTTGTTTTGGTCATTATAAAACGGCTTCCAATTTCAGTATTAATGTTATTATATTATTAATGACCTCCAGAATCAAGAGCACCTGTGCTCCGCGTCTGACACCTTCAAACGCCACTGCGCGCTCACTGCTTGTCAGGATTGTCTTCTGAGGCGCATTCATTTAGAAAAGATTGACGCAGCTTCTCCTACTGCAGCAAATGCAGTTTTTACTGTTGATATTTGATGCCAGTTAATCAGGAAGTGACGATTTTGTTCGCTTTGACTAGTTGGATGGAAACGATGCTTCATTCGCACAACTTTTATGCGATAATCCAGTTTTGCGCATAAAGTTTATTTGCATTTTTGGATGGAAACATAGCTAATGGCATCGTCGTCACAGGTAGGGGTTGTTCAATATCAATTCATAACGAATTAATTGTAGCCTATCGTTTTCACTGCCTGACCCACATGGTCGTTGCTTTACCCATAACCAAATCATAAATAAAGTTACACACAAATTACCACCTGTCAATCACTTTTTCACCGCGGGACTCTAGCATGAATAGGCAGAGTGATCGGTGTCGTCATTATAATGACTTTTTCCCACAGCTGGTGGAGGAGACGAGAGTTTATTTGAATTTCACTGTAATTTGTATTGTGATTGATGATAACTTTCTCATTTTCTTATTATTATTATGAGAAAATAATAACAAGCAAAGATGCTAGGGCTCGACTGTTTTGGTCGCATATGCGGCCGAAATTTTATCTATGTGACCTAAAAATATATTAGGAAGCATTTGTGCTAGCGTATAAATTTTCACTGTTTTCAAGGCAAAATCCTCACCGCGTGCGCGGATTTAAGAGACATTTATGCAGAATGCATCTTTGCACCTAAAAATGCCAAACAGCAACAGATTAAATCAGTTGTTATGTGAACTTGAAGTAAATAGAAGCCCGCTATGCTTGCCCCGCCTTTGTGCTTTTCTTATTGGCCCACTGCTCTAGAACTGAACGCAAATGGATTGGTTAATATCAGCTGTCAATCACTCAGTCAATGCCTTTGGATGATAGGAGTTACAGCCGCGATAATGAAGCGCTGAAGATGAGGGGAATGAAAATAACACTGACAGATTTTATTTTAGAAACCACCTACAGTTACTAATAATGGCACATCTTATTAGCGATCATGTGCTGAATGTTAATCCCTTATTTACACTTTTCCAATAGTGGATAAGAGACTTCCAGTGGCTTCAAGTCCGTTATTAAAATAACTAAAGCCATTCACTGTAAAGTCTGTGGGACAAGGTTTGCAGGTAACAGCATTTGCCACTGAATCTACACATTTTAAGCATGAGAGGTGCTGTATAATCCTTCATTTAATCCTACTCACGATGCTGTCAGCCGTACAAGTGGCAGCTATACGTAGCATTTAACACAGCTCATGAAAAGACCATTATTGCTATTAAGATGACATGCAAATAATAAGTTGTATATCAATATAAATGTGGGGCGGGGCGATGGATCGCGATGCCTGCTCAGCATCAAGAAGTTTGTCAGCTATCGGCGATGGAATTGTCTATCGGCCCAACCCTAATATACATATTTCAAATGCATCAGACTGTTATGTTTTAATGAATATGAATATTTGTTTACACTCCTGAGCTGCTCTGAACATGATCAAATTAAAAAAGACATAATGCTGCATAATTTTCCAGAGATGGGTTGCAGCTGGAAGGGCATCCGCTGCATAAAAACGTGCTGGATAAGTTGGTGGTTCATGCCACTGTGGCGACCCCAGATTAATAGAGACTAAGCCGAAAAGAAAATGAATGAAGAATGCTGCATAAAAACCTGTCTAACTATGCCTGCTCTGACCCGCTTCAGCATTTAGTATCAATTATATGATTAAAATTGCTGTGTGAAATGCATTCATGACACCTCTGAGCAGCAGTATTTAAAAAAACACAAAAATATCTAATATGAAGTAGTTTTATAGCAACATTTACATTGCGAAATTGTAATAAATGTGAATCGTGTCTTTTATTTAATGCTGTGTAGGGTCACTAGCTATGTTTTCATCCAAAGATGTGAATTAAATTTATGCGCAAAACAGGAATATCACATAAAAGATATGCAAATAAAGAGGAGATTCCATTCAATTATTTGAAGAGAACAACAGTCATTTCCTGATTACCTGGCACCAAATTTTAAAATTGAAAATGGAATTTGCTGCGGTAGGAAAGCTGCGTCAATCTTTTCTTTATTTAATAAATGACCTGTGGCTCAGAGAGCAATCCTGACACTGGCAATGAACGTGTGGTGGCGTTAAAAGGTTTGAGACACGGAGCACAGACATTCTTAACAGTTTTGGAAGTAATTAATAATATAATAGCATTAAAAATGAAATGATTAAAGTGTTTTAGAATGACCAAAACAACAATTCAGATGTTTTGCAGTGTGCTCAGCCTGCTGGTTTGTCCAATCACACACATTTTTATCATCACATGACCTTTTTAAATGCGCATGCTGGAATTTGTTCAGTAAAAGTGTTTCCATCATAGTTTATCCGCATCTTTTCTATCAACTAAAAAGTTTATCCTACTCCGTTATGCACATGATTTTTATGCGCATTTTCAAAATGTATGTGCATGTTTGCATTTCCATCAACCTTTTTTTGTGCATAAAAATAGGTGGATGGAGACATAGATACTTATATAAATACAATAAAAATACAATAAAACCATTAAAATAATTTGTTTTTAAAAGTTACATTACATTATATATTTAAATTATTATATAAGACAAAAATTCTACATTTATCAAAAATTCCTGATAAAACCTTACTAAATAACAAGCGGCAACCTCTCGCTCTCCCTCAGGAAGCCAATATGGAAGTAACTGAAACTGCAATTCATTGAAATTCTGCTAGTCCTGGCTCCATATGGAGTAAATTTGAATTGAGCCCACTGTTAGAATGGCCGACTTTACAACAGAAAAAAAAAGGTGTTTACAGATTGGTACAAAGAACAATTTCAAGGTTCATATAGCTAATATTACTCTTCATGACAGCTGTGAGGGGGGTGAATTATTTTATAACTCATCGGTTTCCTTTATATCAAGTTATAATACATTTGCATTATTAAGGGCATGGCCACTTGAGTGACAGTAAGGTCTCGCTGGTCGCCGTCACTTCACCTTAGCTAATTCCGGCTGATTAGCCGCTGAACTTAGCTTATACGTAGTATTTTTGTGTTGTTTTACGTGACTTTACAGTCAGTTGCTTTTTGGATTTTTTTTTTTTTTTACAATTATTAGTAATTTGGCATGCTGTGTGCACTTTATTGTGCTCAAACCATTCACGTGGCCTCCATTTCCCAGGTGATTGAAATTATATACTTATTTACCATCTCTATAAATGAATGCATTGGTCTTATTTAAGATCATTATTTATTTATATTTTTCTTTAGAGCTGTAATGATCTCCAGAATCTGACAGATTGATTAGCTCTAGAAGAGCTAAGTAGGCTCTAGAACAGTCATCTGAAATGTTATGCTGGATTTCATCAACAGTCTTGCATTTACTAACACAGACTATAGTTGAAGTGTTTGGAAGTAAATCACGTTTTCCTCCTGTAGAAAAACATCATAAGAATAATGCCTAATGGCTCAATGTATTCTAACAGTGTTTTTAAAAGTCTAAACACTTTATTGATATAGTATAAAACCAAGCACATGTGGTCAGAACACAAACGAGTCGCAGGTAATGAACTATTTAGCGTTTCTACCATGGGAAAGCCTGTCTAAGAAGAATGCCAGCATGCATCTGTAACTCCACTCACGCTCCGCCTCTTTGCGCTTATTACGGTTGGCCACCCCTACTGCCAGTTTCTTTTGGGTTCTTCATAAACCTATGGGTGACGTCACGGATACTACGTCCATATCTTTTAAAGTCTATGCTAAATAATTATTTAGGTGGGTTAGCATCATTAAAAAAAGTATTCTACAAACATTAAAAGCAGGAGAGTCCAATAATAGGTTTTAATTAAATATATTTTATTATAATATATTTTTAACAGAGAGATGAATCTCAAAAAGCTTGTGGAATAATTCATTCATTCATTTTCCTTGGGATTAGTGTCTATTTCAGAGGTCGCAACAGCGGAATGAACCGCCAATAATTCCAGCATTTGTTTTGCGCAGTGGATACCCTTCTAGCTGCAACCCAGTACTGGGAAACACCCATACATTCAAACATACACTACGGCCAATTTACTTTATTTAATTCCCCTTAAAGCGCATGGGTTTGGACTGTGGAGGAAACCGGAGCATCTAGAGGAAACCCACACCAACACGGGGAGAACATGCAAACTCCACACAGAAATGCCAACTGGCTCAGATAGGACTCGAACCAGCAGGCTTCTTGCTGTGGGGCGACAGTGAGTCTAATTGCCAAACTGACATTTTAAATAATTATTTAAA